AAACGTTCAGAATGATATCATTTATTTACCTAAATCAAAGTAACAAAGTGGGTTTTTTCTGCAGTAGTCTGCATCGTTGCATGAGGCAGTGGCCAACCTTTCACTTTTTGCAGATTACTGACTTCAGCTTATAAGATAATGTTTTTTTACCCTCATCAATCTAATCTTGCCCAGCGATATTAAGCCTAAGCACAGACTCTATTTCATGCTTCCCGGCGTATTTAATAATGCAACAGTAAGTGAGGGTATTTTCTATGATTGGTACTTCGATCACTATGCTGCAAGCAAAAGGACAGTGTTGGAGCAACAAAAATGCAATGTTTCCCAACAGCTTGCATGTATGAGGTAGCCATCTTTATTATTTCAAAATTTTAATTCAACTTATTTTGTTTCCTCGTCAATTATCTGTTTTTCGTTCTTGCTTTGTCCTGGATGTGGAATTATCTGTTAACGCTTATACGTCTCATGAAATTTCACGCAGAAGCCATGTCCTTGCTTGTTTATGTCAAAGAGGTTGACTCAGGTTAATTGACTGGGGACGTCTTAATTACAACAAGGCCTCCTGCTTGGTTAGCAGGGAAATGAAACAAGGGCAATAATCATTTCAATTTGGGTGTCCCTGATCGATTGTAGCAGTAAGCTGAACGCGATTCAAGTTTTCGAATACTCCATTTTATTTCGGATGTTTTCTTTAGATTCACTGTGGTATCAACATTCTGGTAAAGGATTGGCCGATGAACGTTCGTTCAGAGAACCGAGCTTTTCGCCGACCGACGAAATCTCACAAACCCTTACGTCCACTAGGGCCTAATGTAGCCCATATTTTGTTTCAACAGTGTGGAACTTTTTACCGCAATACTCTGTTTGCACAGGCAACTATTATTTTCACTAACTGCCGAGTGGAATTCGCCATGAATAACTAACTTGCCCTAATATAATAGCTGAACTATTCTAGTTAGTGGATTAATTGTAAAGAGATCATAGCACTTAACATATATAATATTCAATAGTCAGTAATCGGCTTACACCTAAATAACATTAAATGTCAGAAAAAGTAGTTACTTCAGATAGAGCAGTCAACGATTACACAGGTCCACTGCTTTCTTTGGACGTTATTCTCTATGATCCAAAATCTATCTTGTTTATCTATATGGGTCTACCATAGAATTCCCTACAATAATGCCCTTGTATTTAAAAAAAGTCAATAATGGATTTAATAATTCAAGCTAAACGTAGCTTTATTTAAAACCTTTTGCATTCCACTCATCTGTAACTTCTCGGTAAGTTAACATAAACTCCGAAAAAGATGATACACTTCGGGATTATATTCTTCAGTATATTACACCGTTTACTATAAAACTTATATTTTCACTATTATCTAAGGTAACCAGGTTACACTTACTTCAAATAGGAGACGAAAAAGCTCACACATGTCAGAATTAGAAAGTGCCTCAGTTATTTAGGACCACATTATTTTCTTCTCTTATTTCGGACAGGGACAGGTTTTCTGCAAAAAATGCTGACGCTAAACTGCGTTCAAGCAGCCCCACGTTAGGGATAGTAAATGCAAAACACAATCTGCAGAGAAAAACGATAATCCAGATTTCCTGAAATTGTTGTTAATACGTCGTCTATTTCTCTAGTAAATGTTAAGATGGTTGCCTACGTTAGATACCCCCAGCTCCTTGTCCTGCGGTTACTTTACTTTTATTAGGTTTAGTTCAATTTAGGTTTAGTTTACATTTTATTTTACTACTTAGTTTATTTTTTAAACTTTGTTTAATTAGATACCGCTAAAGTTAGATGAATATATCTGAATAACTACAATTAACTACATTAAACAAAAATAAACTCAGACAAATTGCACAACACCAAACAAACTAAAAACTCGACTAGACTAAAACTAAAATTAAACCAATAAACTAGAATCTAGACTTAACTTAGGCCACAATTCGTACAAGACAAAAGTCTGCTGCAGGGGTATCTAATGTGGACAACCAACTTAGCCTTTACCTTTTATATATTTTAGGGATATCAGTTAACACTATTTGATCTAGACACAATTTTCCAGTGACTCCGTCTCGCTCTGGACAAGCCGATATCTGCGTAGGCTTTTGCAGATTGGAGAGCTGCGTGTTCGTCCCTTTGCCATACTTGATTTATGAACCACATAGAATTGGAGGCTTTCTGGAAACAGAAACTTAATTATTTCAAAACAGATGTGCAGTTTTGATGAAAGATTTTCTTGGACAAAACAGGAACAAATAATTAAATGATATTTCCCCTAACAAAAAGGGTTGTCCTGAAATGTATGAATGTCTCATGCACTACTCAAAATGTTAAGGTAGACAGACTAAAGTGAATTAAACTGCATCATGGAACGCACAAGTTACAACACTTCAAAAGTATGTAGAATTTCACGTTTTTGCAGTTTCCGAATAAATGCTCTCTTCAAAATCGAAAGCTTCCAAAGGCCAGTGATGAATCGGGTGAGTTTCCTTGCAATGCCCACTGTTGACCGCAGAAACAAGTAAATAAACACATCTGCTTAAGTAAATAGCACAGAATAAATATCTTCATTGCGCAGGGAACCGCACAGTAAATATACTTATGGGTAATGGACGACAGCTAAATTGTTCACAAAGTACGTTTGATCTGATTATTTGCGCAACCGCATCTTTCGGAGAACCAGCAACACGAAGGAGCGAAGAGCAGGAATATATAGAAGCAGGATGCATGGGACGAGACTCGTATTGACTACCAGTAGCAAAGCCCCAACTTGCTGTTGTGGGCTGTTTATAATGAAGGTGGTCAAGTTAAGAGCACTCAGGAACTGGTAGATGCAGTCGTAGGCAAAGGTGATGGAGTAACTCAATGCCAAGGGTAAAATGCACATGCTTGCCGAACGCCAGCCAAGTGGAGGCGCAGAGTGCACTCCCTTGACGAAGGCCTGAGCTTCCAGGGTCATCAAGCAGAGGTCGTCGGTGCGATTATGTCCAGAGGCGTCACGAACGGCTTTCACGAGTTTGTAGCATACAAGAGCAAGAACGGAGCTGACCAAAACGAACATGAGCACAAACCAAACGTAGACATGGGCGTAGATGACGGAGAGGAATGGGATATTCACTCGAGTAGGGGCACAATCGCAAGTATCACCCTGTACATTAACCGTCAGAATCTGGGGTGAGGTAAGCAGAAGCCCACTGATGAGGGCAGTGATATGATAGGAAAGGATCCGATTCTCCTCTACCATAGTTTTATATGACTTTAGGTCCTCAATCATTGCGAGACGATCAAGGCAGAAGAAAACGAGGTAATGTGCACCCATGACAACAAATATCCAGTAAAAGAAGCGGCTTTTCCAAAAAATGCAAACAAGACGGTCGAAGTGGTAGTTGTGAGAACGCCATGAGTAAGGGTACACCTTTTCAAGGAAATTCATGAAGGCTGTTAGGAGGCAGAAAGCGCTGATAAAACGCAGAAGGATCAGGCTCGTCCGTGGAATCGGATGGGCTTTGGAGAGCCCAACTAGAACTAAGGTGTTGAGAAACAGGCCCATCGCCTCAAAAATGTAGAAGCAAATATCAATGGCATTCGGAAGATTAGTAGTAGGCACACAGTGCCAAAACGTTGTAGATTCTACTGTTGTCATTTGGATCAGAGCGGCAGTAAGATGAGATTATGTCATGTATATAAACTTGCCAGTTGACCAATCAGAACGCATAAAATCGGATTGGACGGATTTGATGTAGAAACATCTCACGCGTCGGAAAACAACTTCGGAACCAGGTGTAGGTATGCACGCGCATGGCAGAGAGCTTCCAGCAACGCGTCAGAAGGATATTTATTCCGATGAACTAATTCTACCATATATTAGAGCTCTAAACTCGAATGGGAGATAAAGTCCTACCTTGCAATAAATCTCAAGCCCACAAAAAAGGGAAATATCTATTCCGTGAGATACTCAATTTTGTTCAAGTTAAATCTCATTTGGTTGATACTACTCCGTATATTAAGACCAATGAAAATGTGAGTTTGTTATAGGGACGCCAGCGGTCATGCACTCGGAGCCCACGGCCTGGAGTCATGCGCACAGGCAAACGGCGAACGCTAACGACCGCTCACACAGCGTGAAGAATTATCGATTTGTGTGCAGACGCGACTACCGTTCACGCAGCTTGGGGAACTATCGATTAGAGGGCAGACGTTACGACCACTCACACAGCGTGACAAACTATCGATCAGTGACAGACCTGAACAGCGGTCGCATGCTACTGGGCCAGGAGTATTCTAGAAGGCCAGAGTCTCATAAATAGGCTGCATTGGTGAACCTAAGGATTCCGCTGTGTCTGCGTTATCCTGAATGAAGACTCTTACGATCAGAACTGGCTTTGCCTTCTCTTCTGCCTACTAGTCGGGTTCAAAATACTGGGCTATAACAGAGTTCTAGGAAGTATTGGATAAGACCAAGTTGCGATTGCCGACATTTTGCGAGCAATTCTTTACTTCCACTTTCTTCACCGTCCATCAGCTGCTTACTCCTGGCGCATGTAGTTGTGGTGACAAAAAAGGTTCCCCGAATCACAGGTCAGAGACGAGTGAATTACCTGTAAAAGCTTTACTGCGAGAAAAATAATTGTATAAAGAATGTGTCACGAGCCATTTGCCACCTGTGTCGGCACGC